GTCATTGAGGAATGAAGGTCTGGTTTGTCATAGCTAGAGCACCACTGTACCCGCAGTCCCCAAAACCCCAGCAAGAAGCCACACCATCATGGGGTCAGTTGTAACCTCCCCTCCCCCGCCAGGCCTTCCTTCATTCTGCCTGTGGCAATTTATTGTGTGTGTGTGTGTGTATGCGTGTGTGTGTGCGCGCGCGCGCGCGCACGCCCATCCTGTGTCTTGAACTCAGGGCCTAGGCGCTGTCTGTAAGCCTTTTTGTTCAAGTCTAGCCCTCTATCACTTGAGCCACAGCTCCATTTCCAGCTTAGTGGGTGGTTAATTGGAGATAAGAGGTCTCACAGACTTCTCTGCTCAGGCTGGCTTCCAACTATGATTCTCAGCTCTCAACCTCCTGAGTAGCTAGGATTACTGGTATAAGCCACTAACACCTGGCTGACAAATTTTATTAAAAGAAATTTCAAAAGCAAAGAGATCTGGAAACCTTAACCAACCATGTCTACTCATTTTCAACTTGGGGAGGAAACCCCACCCCCACTCCCCACCGGCAATGTCTAAATCATGCATTTAATACTGTACTAGTTAGTGCTGGAAACCCTTAGGTGGCTTTTCATTGCTTCTCTTCCTTCCTCTTTCTTTCTTTCCTTTTTTTTTTTTTTTGCAGTACTAGGGAGTGAAATCAGGGCCTTGCATTTGCTAGGCAGGGGCTCTACCACTTGAGTCACTCCTCTAGTCCCTTTGTGCCTTGGTTATTTTTTTATTTTTATTTTTGGTCGTGAGGCTTGAACTCTGGGCCTGGGCGCTGTCCATCAGCTCTTCAGCTCAAGGCTAGCACTCTACCACTTGAGCCTCAGCCCCACTTCCGGCTTTTTCTGCTTATGTGGTGCTGAAGAATTGAACCCAGGGCCTCATGCATGCAAGGCAAGTGCTCTACCACTGAGCCAACTTCCCAGCCCTGCCTTGGTTATTTTTAAGGTAGTGTCCAGCCTGGGCTGAGATCTTCCTCTTGGTTTTCCCCATGTTACTGGAGGTGACAGGTACATGTCACTGTACCTAACCATTGTGTTTCCCCTATAGTTGGGAAAACAGGCATGCAACAGACATTGGCTGAGATGAAGTCTTACCAACTCTGGTCTTAAAGTTCAGTTCCCCCCATCTCTGCCTTCCAAGTAAGCTTCCATGCTGGTTTCATTGCACTTTGAATAAACTCTGACTATCTTCTTGAGGCTGATGTGCCTCAGGAAGGAGGGAGGTGTGGCCAGAATACTCATTTTTAAACAATGAAACCACAGAAACACTTGAAGAGCAGGAAAATCCTTGCAATGTATCTCCAATTAACTAGGAAGAACCTAGAAGTGACCTAGAAGTGGCTCAAGTGACAGAACACCAGCCCCTCTTGAAAATGCCAAGAGAGTGAAAGGCCCTGAGTGAAGACCCTGAGTTAAAGCCCAAGTATCAGCACAAAACAACAGAACAAAGTAAGGCATTCATTCATTAGTGGATTACTCCATAATTATTAAAATTGTAGGTATTAAGATGAAGATTCAAGCTGGGTGCCTGTGGCTCATGCCTGTAATCCTACTCAGGAGGCTGAGATCTGAGGATCATAGTTCAAAGCCAGTCCAGGCAGGCAAGTCTGTGAGACTCTTACCTCCAGGCCCAGAGTTCAAGCCCCACAACTGACAAAAAAAAAACCAGATTCATGATATATTGATGAGAAAAAAAAGCCCTAAAATATACTTCACACACACAAAATACATCCTATTTTTGTTAACAACTCGTGTGTGGGTGGATACAAATTTAGAATAAATGCCAAAACGTTAGTGAGTATCTGTGGTTAACAGGATTTTTGTTTTTTGTATTCGTGCTAGGTTGTTTTTTGTTTTGTTTTGTAGGTGCTCGCTTTGAGCCACAGCGCCGCTTCCGGGTTTTGAGTGGTCATCGGCGTCTCAGGGAGACGTTTCTGCTCAAGCGGGCTTCGAACCGCAGTCCTCCGATCTCAGCCTCAGTAGCTAGGAGTCCGACGCCGGCTGTATTTTCCTCGTTACCGTCTCAAAGGGGCAGGATATCATTCGTCTAAACTACGGGCGGAGAAAATAAAGGGACTGGAGTCTTAAATCAAGCAAAGACTAAATGTGGCGACCAGTCCCTGACAAAGCGCGCAAGCGCAGAAGCTCTCGGTGGCGTTTCCTCGAGCGTGCGCTCAGAGTTGTAACTAAGCCACCCGTTCCTCAGGCACCGCCAAGGCCACCACAGACAGGGCGCGGGTCCTGGCTAGAGGCGGGGCCACGTAGTCCGGAAGAGGCGCCGCGTCGCGCATGCCCCTTCCTTTCCAGCCTCGGCCTCGGACCCTGAAGCCGCCGTGGTGAGTTCTTCTGAAGTTCGGGTTCCATCGGTCCCCATCCGGGCCGTCCTGCCGCCACAGGGACCGCACCTCCTTGGGATCGGGGCGGGGGTCTTCCCACTTCCTTTCCGCACTCCCATTTTTAAGCAGCGAGTGTGGCTGGGGACGCAGCTCAAGGGAGTGGGGTGCTTGTAAGCGACGACTGGCTTTCCGGATGGCGGAGAGCCCCACGGGAAATTGAAGCTCTGGTGTGTTGGGGGCTGGCCAGGCGAGGTGAGGGAGTCATCGTTCCTCTGCACGCTTTTGCTTTCCCTCCAGACTGCACCCTCCTACGTCCTTAGGTTTTGGGGGTAGTTTTAGGGGGCGATGGCACGAAAGACAACCCTTTGGCTTGGGTACCGAGCGTGTCTGGAAGCGAAGGCTCTTGTTTGGTCCTCCTCCTGTACGAGAACAGCCTCGAGATTGCTCTGTAGGTAGCCTCTTGATGGTCCCCATATACTGGGAGTCCACAGGGTCAGTGCCCATCTCAGACCCTGAATACCACTGTTGTGAGAGCGTTGCAGGTAAAGCAGATTTACACCCTCATCCCCGTGTTGTCTTAACGTTCTGGCGCCATTTTTCGACCAATTGTGAGGGGGTAGGGGAAGAAACTCATCCCTGATGAGTTGGTTAGGAGTTTGTAGCCTTCCCTTTTGTATGTCTACTACAGTGTGTCTTAGGACCTTTACTAGTTGCTGGCAGGAGTGTAATTGATAATGTAAAGCAGTGTGATAATTGATAAAATGTTTTTCTGTAAAAGCAGTGTGGCATGAATGGTGTGTGGTCACCTTAGGGTGGTGGACTTTGGTTACTGGGCCTTAGCCACACTGCTTAGAGATGCTTTTTATAACTTATTTCTTGTAGATGTTGATGCCCAAGAAAAACCGGATTGCCATTTATGAACTCCTTTTTAAGGAGGGGGTTATGGTGGCCAAGAAGGATGTCCACATGCCCAAGCACCCAGAACTGGCAGACAAGAATGTGCCCAACCTTCATGTCATGAAGGCCATGCAGGTATGGGGTAGAGATGGAGGGCTTTCCAACCAGTGTTGAAGGCAAATTCCAGTGAGGTTAGACAGGCTTAAGCATGTTTGCTGCTCTCTGTAGAGATGTTGTCTTCGGCAGTACTGAAAGGATTTCAGCTATTGGGGTTTGAACTTGGGGAGTGGCCCTTATGATGGAATTCTGCTGAACCACACCTCCAGCTCTGTTTTGTACTGGTTGGTTTCAGTGCACTGATAATTGTGTCTTGAACTCAAGGAGCCTTGGCACTGTCCCTAGCTTTGTTGCTCCAGGCTATACCACTTTAGCCACAGCAAAAGCTCTACTGGCTTTTTAAGGATAGGTTTCATTCCTGGGCCTGGACTAAGATCTACCTACTTTGAGCTTCCTGTTGGGATCACAGGCATGTACCACTGCTCCCAGCTTCCCTCTTACGTCACATGGGGTTTTCTGTCCCAACTGGCCTGGAACTATGGTCTTCCCAATCTCAGAATCTTCCAAGTATCCAGGATTATTATGTTTTGGGATGGGGCCTAGATATTTAGTCCAGCCCTCTTCAAACTCATTTTCCTCTTTCAGCCTACTGATGGAATTACAGATGTGAGCCCTGAGGTACAGCTTTAGTCATGTCTTAACAGTAACTTTTTGCCCAACAGTCTCTCAAGTCTCGGGGCTACGTGAAGGAACAGTTTGCCTGGAGGCATTTTTATTGGTACCTGACCAACGAGGGTATCCAGTATCTCCGTGATTACCTCCACCTGCCCCCTGAGATTGTGCCTGCTACCTTGCGCCGCAGCCGACCTGAGACTGGAAGACCTCGGCCAAAAGGTATGGTGATATCTCTGAGGATCTGCTCTGAAGTCCCTCTTTGAGGGGTGAAAAGAATGCATTTTTGAAGGCGATGAGAACATATCATCAGTGTCATCTTTAGAGGGACTGTGGCTTGCAGGACCTTTGGCCAAGTCATGGAATCTTTAACTGGATCCACATCTTCAGGCCATTCATAAGAAAGCATGAATACAATTTTTTGGTTGTTTTTGTCGGTCGTGGGGCCTGAACTCTGGGTCTGGGCACTGTCCCTCAGCTCTTCGGTTCAAGGTTGGTGCTTTACCACTTGAGCCACAGCCCCACTTCTAGTTTTTTCTGCTTGTGTGGTGCTGAGGAATTGAACCCTGGACCTCATGCATGCGAGGCAAGCACTCTGCTACTGAGCCACCTTCCCAGCCCCACATGAATACAGTTTTGGTCTGTACCTGGGACAGAGTGCTGAATATTTTCCAGCAGAGTGAGATCCTGCTTGTCCCCACGAAAGAATGGCATAGCAAGAATGTTTTTACAAGTGAAGGAAGTGAAGAAATGTGTACTTTCATGGCTAGGGGAGCAGGAATTGCGAAAAAGTAGGCAGGAGAATGCAGATGTGTATGGACTCACTGAGGATGTATACTGTGTGTGGGAATTTTCTTTGACTGCGGAGGTCATTATTGGCTTGTAATTGCATTTTGTCACATGAACTTCATTAGAGCTGCCAAAGTTGTGGGCTGAGGTGACAAGATGAAGAATCTTAAATATGGCGCCGGGCGCTGGTGTCTCACGCCTGTAATCCTAGCTACTCAGGAGGCTGAGATCTGAGGATCGCGGTTCAAAGCCAGCCCCGGCAAGAGAGACCTTGAGACTCCTATCTCCAATAAACCACCAGGAAACCGGAAGTGGCGCTGTAGCTCAAGTGGTAGAGCGCTCGCCTTGAGCAGAAGAGCTGAGGGACAGCGCCCAAACCCAGAGTTCAAGCCCCACGACCGACCAAAAAAAATGAATCTTAAATATGATGATTGGTGAATAAGATCATCCCTACCCACACTTTGTGATTCAGTTGGCTTACATGGGCCTGGAATTTATTTTTGGTACTACAGGACCAATTGTATTTTATCTACTTTAAAGATTGCTTATAGTTTAATGGCAAATAAGTTTCAGGTCAGGGGCTGGGAAGGTGGCTCAGTGGTAGAGCGCTTGCCTTGCATGCCTGAGGCCCTGGGTTCGATTCCTCAGCACCACATATGCAAAAAAGAAAAAAAAGCCAGAAGTGGTTCTGTGGCTCAAGTGGTAGAGCACTAGCCTTGAGCTGAAGAGCTGAGGGATAGCACCCAGGCTCAGAGTTCAGGCCCCACGACCAGACCCCCCCCAAAAAAGTTTCAAGGCAATTTACCAGATGAAATTAATACTTTTTTTGGGGGGTGGGGTTCCTGGGTTGCCAATCCAGGGCTTGAACTCAGGACTTGAGCGCTGTCCCTGAGCTGCTTTTGCTCAAGGCTAGCACTCACAGCATCACTTCCAGCCTTTTCTGTTTATATGGTACTGAGGATTCAAACCCAAGGCTTCATGCATTGTTAGGCAAGCACTCTTCTGTTAAGCCACATTCCCAGCTCTAAATACTTAGAATGCTTATGTTTATGTTTTTTGTTGTTGGTTGTGGGTCTTGAACTCTGGGCCTGGGCGCTGTCCCTCAGCTCTTCAGCTCAAGGCGAGCGCTCTACCACTTGAGCTACAGCGCCACTTCCGGTTTTCTGGTGGTTTATTGGAGATAGGAGTCTCATGGTCTCTCCTGCCCGGACTGGCTTTGAACCACGATCCTCAGATCTCAGCCTCCTGAGTAGCTAGGATTACAGGCGTGAGCCACCAGCGCCCGGCTGGTTTTTTTTTTTTTAACATTATCTTGCTTTGTAGCCCTGGCTGGCATCAAACTCAAATTCTCCTACCTCTAGTTCTCAAGTGCTAGGATTATAGGTGTGAACTACTGTTCTGGTCCTGAAGGTACATAAAAGGTAAAAATCTCTATCTTAAAAAAAATGTCATTGGAAGCCAGGTGCCAATGGCTCATGCTTGTAATCCTAGCTACTCAAGAGGCTGAGATCATGGTTCAAAGCCAGCCAGGACAGGAAAGTCTGTGAGACTCATCTCCAGTTAACCCCCAGAAGACTGGAAGTGGCGCTGTGACTCAAGTAATAGAATGCTTTCCTTGAGCTAAAGAGCTCAGGAACGGCACCCAGGCCGGCCAAGAGTTCAGTCCCATGACAAAGCCAGGCACTGGTGGCTCACCTGTACTCCAAGTACTTATGAGGCTGTGGTATGAGGATTGCAGTTCAAATCCAGCTGGGCAGAAAAGACCCCATAAGGCTTAACTCCAAGCTTGGCACCGGTGGCTCATGCCTGCAATCCTAGCTACTGAGGAGTCTGAGATCTGAGGATCACAGCTCAAAGCCAGCCCGTGCAGGAAAGTCTGTGAAACTCTTGTCTCCAATAAAACACTAGAAAACTGTAAGCAAGCAGTGCTGTGGCTCAAGTGGTAGAGCGCTCCCTTTGAGCTAAAGAGTGCAGGGACAGGGGCTGGGAAGTGGCTCAGTGGTAGAGCGCTTGCCTTGCATGCCTGAGGCCCTGGGTTTGATTCCTCAGCACCACATAAGCAAAAAGAAAAAAGCCGGAAG